TCCTTCCCTGCAGAAGGACTAAGTGACTGAGGAGCAGAAAAGAATGCTTCATGTTTCGATTATATTTACACAAATTAAGAATCACCAAGAAAAATAGGTCTCTAACTCCTGTTACAAAATGCAGATGGTGAAATACCTTTATGATGCTCTGAATGGATTCTCCGCTCACATCCATTAAAAAGGCCTCCTGTCCAAACAGGCGTATATATGCCGTCAGAAGTCTGTCTTTCGGTAGGTTTTGCCAGTCAGTGAGCTTTAAATGATCAGAGCATAACCATTAACATAATGCTTGACATAAGTTAGACATTTAATAAATCCTGAGACTGAAAATTCTCACAATTTTCATTATAGAGGCAAAATCTGTGATTTGAGGGAATTTTCCTGCAAATAGCTCTTGGATTCCATCTGTGTGAACACCGAGCTGAAAACATTCAAAATATTTAATATAAATATATTGTATACATCAGATTACACTGAATTTTATAGATTTGGTTTGATTACCTCAAGAAGTTGCATTATTCTACCAATGAAATGAATTTTCCCCTTTATCATAAGTTTTGAGGGTATGGGACTTTCATTTTTCAGCATGTAAACATCAGTGGATGTCCCAAACAAAAAGTCATCTGAGGAGACAAGAAACAGCATCAGACCATCCCCAGCACCACAAAAGGCTGATCTACAAAGCTATCAATTAAAGGCCTGGTTCTCTTACGAGAGGTTCTCTCGTATTGCGTTTCTTCTCGAGATATTGAAGCCAAAAAATTATCCTTAATTTTGTATTCATTTTCAACGCAGTGCAGCAGGGGGGTAGCCTGACTTCGTCATGCTCATATTCAAGAAAGAATATGAGTCTGAAACTCCTCCATTGGGCTTTGATTATGAGGTGTGTCGTAACCGAACCAGGACAAAAAAAAAAAAACCTCTGCACTCAATTGGATAGTCGGTAGACCTACCAACCAATCAGAGCAACGCATAAGTCAACTCCTTTGCATAGCGCAGTTTTCAAATACAGAACGTAGCCTACTTTATTTATTTTAGAAGTTAAATAACGAGTGTTACTTCTTTTACTTACTTCTCGATGAGTGCCACCAAAGGAGAAACCACAACGACCACAGGCTTTTCATTACATTCCATCTTCTTAACGACCGTCAGAGCCAGCTGATGAGTTACACTTTTCCCGAATCATGTAGGAAGGACACCAAAAATATCTTTCCGATCGACAAATGCCTTGATTGCAGTTCTTTGTTTGTTCTCAATTCTCCAGCTGCAGTCATCTTTGACAAGCGCACTTTGATGACGTGAGGATTACGTTACTGAAGACCACCTGTCAATCATCGTATAAAGCCCGCCCTAGCAATTTGATTGGCCCGATGATTTCTGAACCGATCATAATTACTCCTCAATGGATAGAGTCCAGACCGAACTTCCCGTCCAAAAAATTTTCTGGGCGGTGTTCATAGGCTGCTCTGCGGAAACTGCGCAGCCTACCAGCGAGCCCAATGTGACGTCACGTCCAATCGAGGGTGCTCGCGCCCTCAGCACCTCCTAGCCCGGCAGAATGGGCGTGGCTTAGCGTATATAAGCAGGGCTCGGAGGCTGTTTCTCTGGTTTTCATCTCTTCAGCACGCATTGCTGGATCTTGAGAAGCTGTGTCGCTGTCAAAACAGTGCTAGGACAGTGACTGAGGAAGCCGGCCGTCTTCGCCATCTTCAGCTTTCTGAAGCAAGCTACACTATCCAACGACGTATCCTGTTATTATTGCTAAAACTAAGCATCTAAAAGACCACGGGACGTCTTTTTAAAGGAGACGTGCTCTTCCCCTCTCACCGGGAGGATGTTAGCACTGCGAGGAGCTGAATGATGACCCTGCGGGCTTGACTCGAAGCATTCCACGACGAAGCTGTCTCTCCACCCTTTGTATGGCCATGCAGAAAGCGCCGTTCTCAAAGGCCTCTGGAGCCCCTGGCCGCTGCGACGCGCTCGCCAGATTCCCTCCCTCAAGCCTCACCCTCCCCCTCTCATTGACGCGAAGTTACAGCTCACGAGCCGCATTGCCCTCGTGCTGAATGGGTACGTGCCGCTGACAGTTGTTCTAACTGCGGTTAGCTTTCTTTACATTACAAGAAAGCTACCCCGCTCCCAAGCATCACCGGCGAAATGAGGAAATAGTGTGTTAGTCTCGTAGAGGCCGGACTAATCTCCAATTTCTCAAACATTTCTCAGCTCCTTTTAGTTCGAGCTGGTTATGTCAATATGGCAGCGCTGAGCCTGTTGTATATCACGCACGGCTGCAAGCGCCGACACACAAAACTGTGAAGCTGTCTTATCTGCTCGCGCTAAGTAAAGCTTGTGTCTTTTGCACCTGTGGCTCAGAGGCAAAACACACAGTTTTCGCACCAGAGAATATCGCACTCGCAATCGCTCGCGTGCCTACTAGCAAGCGCTAAAATGCAATTCGCCAGTGGTATTAAGCACACGTCATGAAGTGCCTCATGCCGGCCAGTTTATGAACGTGAGTCCCGTGCCAGCTCACGAGCGCCCATGCTTACAAACATACGCGCGGCTCAAAATTAAGGATAATTTGTTGGCTTCAATATCTCGAGGAGATGAATGTTTTCCGTAGCCTAAGCTAAACTTACGCAATACTCGTTCCCTCATCTAGAGAGAACCGAGGTATGTTAGATAACCGATTCGTTTCACAGACAGGGCTTAGATTAAGTCAGGTTCAGGCCTTAATTAAATTATGACATTTAAGTAACTTTTTTAAACATGCCATAGAAAAAAAAAACATTACTAGTGTGCATCTTGAGACAAAACAATGGCACTAAAATATTGCTAGGGTTAAACCTTGTCTGTGAAACTTTGGGGGAAGAGTTGTAAACCCACCATGGAACCAGTCAAAATGCATGCTCTTGCTATAGCGATAACTCAGGTGGCCAAGTCTGCGGGTAAGAATCTTCATGGCAATGTTACAGGCAGTAGATCTGTTTAGAAGAAGCAAAGGAATGAGGACAATTCAGATGCTTTGAAAGGAGTTGAGGATAACACTTTAGACAATTCAGCATGCTTACAGATTTTGATTATCAGGGGTGCGGGACATGGCAATTCCTTTGAGCAGAGAGTAGGAGAAGCTGGCAACCTGCAGGTCATTCTCCTCCAAGAGGACCTCAGTTATCACTGAGATCAGAGCTATGGAGGGCTTGGTGTCTAGAAGCACCATGCAGGCCAGCATGCGGATTTCAGCAGGAAGAGTTTTTTGTACAAATAGGTTCAAGACAATGTCCTGTACCTGCAAACATACAAGACATAGTCACGTAGAGATATGGTCTGCATCTGCTGAAAGGGTTCCTAGCTAGTGGAGACCTGTGTCCATCAACACCCTCAAAGCTTGCACAGTAGTATGCCTCCTTGTGGGATCAAATTTTTTTTCTGGGTAACGTTTGGCAGTTTTGATATATATGCTGTTGAATGTTTGGTTATCACATTAGCTTACTTGTGCATAAACAACTTCCATCTGATCCTTCTGATTTACTCAGACTTAGTTCTCCATTTATTTTTGAATCCAAAGATGCTGTACTATTTCAGAAGATATGTAACAGTGCCCCCTACCATATAATAGTCAAAACATGGATTGCCGGAAGTCATCAGTGGCTGGGAAGCATTTAATCATAAATGACAGGAAATCTTGTCAATGGCAGGGAAAGAGTTAGGCTATGTGAGGTTGAATAGGGCTTATCTGTGGGCAGGAATTTTCAGGTATCTCCAGAGATGTTTGACTGGGTTCTGATCTGCGCAGTGGCTGGGCAACTTAAGGACAATTACTAGTTAAAGTGAATATAAAAACTCTTTAAATTGCACATTGACATATAAAATTGGCATACTATCATCTTATGAATAATTTAATGATACATTTCAATATTATCTACCTTTAAGAGATCATTTATTCTATCAGATGTGTTGACAAATTCAGATGTTGTGAGAAAAACGTTTGCTTTTATACAAGGCTTTTTCCCATGCAGAAGTTGTGCCGCATGCTTGAATTGGATAAAATTTAAGAAATATGTCCAATGACAAAAAAAATGCTTTGAAATGAATGCTTTTATCAATACTCGCAATGTGATCTATTTGCTAAAGTGTCCTTGCCAAAAGATACATATGGGAAAATAATCACAACAATTTAAATCACAGATTAATGAATATAAATCAGGTATTAGGCAATACATATCTTCTCCAGTGGCTAGACATTTCAATTAACTAAAAGAGATGATATAAAAAAAATAATTACTGAAACGAAAAGAGCTTTTTCTGAAGGTGAATTAATAGCTTGGCATTTATCTGCATTCAGCTATTCTTTTGCCTTGACCAGTGTGCAGACCCTGCCGCTGAGAAACACACCCACACCAATGCATCACCTGTAGGATGCTATTCCATAGCTTATGAGTGGTGCCTGGTTTCATCCAGACATTTTGCCTGGAACTGATTTTCATTAAACCGTAGAAAGGTGTTTCTCACAGTCCGAGTCCTATTTTTACGATCTAAGGGCATGGTCTAAAGCGCAGAGCGCAAGTGTACTTTAGACATGTCTGAATCCACTTTTGTTTGTTTAACGAAAGGAAAAATGAAGAGTTCAGATGCAAAAGCCTCTAAATGCCATTTGAAAATCAAACTTGTATATTTAAGTTCAGTAATTTTACTTAAATGGCAATGATAATTACCTATTAATTGTTATTTAAGTGAAATTACTGAACTTAAATCATCATTAAAGAAGAAAATTTCAAATGGCATTTAGAGGCTTTTGCATCTGAACTCTTCAAATGTTGTCTAAAAGGGTTGTCCCCATTCTCTTTAATGAGCGTAACGTGAAATAAACCAACCAGAGTATCATCTCATATTTCCTTTAAAAGCCCTTTAGACCAGGTTTTTGTTGGTCCGTGGTGCAGTCTATTTTAGTTTCCTCAAAATAGCAACGAGCCAACAATGCGACTGAACAGATCAATGACCAAAGAGTGTAAAGACCAGCGACTCCACCGAGCAAGGACACCGACAAGGCACTTGAGTATTACATTCTCTTGTTTATTTATTGTTGTTTTCCTTTCTCTTCTACAACTTTTCATCACATCTTTCTGTTTGTGAGCTCCTTTACACTATGTGTTTTCAAATCCCTACTATTACTCACATACGTAAATCAAATGTCACACGTCAGAGGCGGTACAATCCTAACAGTCTTCGTACCCTTCCGCTGTCTTCTAATACTTTATTCTCTTTTACTATTGGTCTCTGGAACTGCCAGTCCGCTGTTAACAAAGCTGATTTCATTACAATTTTTCAAGTCATTCAGGTCTCAGTCTATGGGCTATATGCACGCATAAGTTCCGCATTTGACGCAAGGATGCTCGTCTATTTCCGGTTGTGTAGATTAAAGCGGAGGAAAACCGGAGAAAACGGGATTATGGCAGAGTCTTCAATATTTACTGTCCTCCCGTCTTTGAAACGAAACGTACATACGTTTAGATGTAATTTTATATACAGTTATGTTTATTTGATATAATTTTAAAAAGAAGCATAAACACAACGAGGGGTGTCTGTTTTATCTGTTTTTGTGACTAACGTTTTATTAGTATAACCATGGAGTATAAAATTCAATATAAATTCTCGCTATTACATTGGACTCTATGATCGGCGGAAGTTATCGAGCATCCCTAATGCTTCACCGGAAATACCGCCGTGCATAGAGCCCATTGGCCCTGACTGAGACGTGGATCAGAGCAGAGGACATTGTCACACCTGCTGCCCTCTCCACTAACTTCACTTTCTCACACACTGACCGGAAGGGGTGGTGGTACTGGTCTGCTCATCTCAAATGACTGGAAATTTGTTACTTTAGCACCTCCATTTGACAACAGCTCATTTAAATCACATTCAATTACCATCACTAGTCCTATTGAAATCCATTTCGTAGTTGTATATCGTCCCCCAGGTAAACTTGGCAGTTTCTTGGAGGAGCTTGACGTGCTACTCTCATCCTTCCCTGAAGATGGTACTCCTCTTGTAATTCTTGGCGACTTCAACATACACCTAGAAAAACCTTAGGCTGCCAATTTCCACACCCTGCTTGCATCATTCAACCTCAAACGAGTATCTACTGTGGCTACTCACAAATCAGGTAACCAATTGGACCTTATCTTATTCCTCCAGGCCCGCCCACGCCACTCCCTCTTTACTGCTAAAATGGCTTACTATCACAACAAGTTGTACCCACACTCACACACATCATAAACACCTCTCTTCACACTGGTACCTTTCCCACAGCTTTTAAGCAGGCTCGAGTAACCCCACTGCTTAAGAAACCCAACCTAAATCCAGCACATCTAAAAAAGTTACAGACGGGTATCTCTTCTTCCATTTGTCGCGAAAACACTTGAAAGAGTTATTTTCAACCAGATCTCCTCCTTTCTTACACAGAACAACCACTTGGACAACAATCAGTCTGGTTTCAAAAGCAGACACTCAACTGAGACTGCCCTGCTCTCAGTAATTGAAGCTCTGAGACTGGCAAGAGCAGCTTCCAAATCCTCAGTCCTCATCCTGCTGGATCTGTCTGCTTTTGACACAGTTAACCACCAGATCCTCCTGTCAATCCTAAATATGAAGGGCATCTCGGGAACTGCACTCCAATAGTTCGAGTCTTACCTCTCAGGTAGGTCTTTTAGGGTGTCGTGGAGAGGTGTGGCATCTGAGATCCAACATCTAGCTACTAGGGTGCCTCAGGGCTCAGTGCTTGGACCACTCCTGTTCTCCATCTACATGACATCACTAGGTTCTGTAATTCAGAAGCATGGCTTTTCCTATCATTGCTGATGGCATGCAACTCTACCTCTCATTCCAGCCTGACGATCCAACAGTAGCTCTTATCTCAGGCTGCCTGACACGCATTTCTGGCTGGATGAAGGACCACCACCTTCAACTAAACCTTGCGAAGACAGAGCTACTTGTGATCCCGGACAACCCAACACTTCATCACAACTTCTCCATTCAGCTAGCCTCTTCATCCATAACTCCATCAAGGTCAGCTAGGAACCTTGGGGTTGTAATTGATGATCAGTTGAAATTCACAGACCACATTGCTAGAACTGCCAAGTCCTGCAGATTTGCCTTGCACAACATCAGGAGGATCAGGCCCTTCCTTACAGAGCTTGCTACACAACTCCTTGACCAAGCACTTGTTTTATCCAGACTGGACTATTGTAATGCTCTCCTGGCTGGTCTTCCAGCTTGCTCTGACAAACCTCTACAATTGATCCTGAATGCTGCAGCCAGAGTAGTCGAACAACCCTCTTACCTAAACTCATTACTTCAGACTTATGTTCCATAAAGAAACTCACGCTCTGCTAGCGAATGTCGTCTTGTGGTACCATCTCAAAGAGGCACAAAATCTCTTACTCGGACCTTTACCATGACTGTTCCCTGCTGGTGGAATGATCTGCCTAACTCAACCAGAGCTTCTGAGTCAGTAGCAACTTTCAAGAAACAGCTGAAGGAGTATCTTTTTCGGTAGCACTTGATTTAGTAGCACTAACACTTTCTCTTCTCTTCTCTTCTCTTAAGGTGGGGGGGGGGGTTGATTGCGATTTCACTTTTTTCATTTTAAATAGTAAAATTTAATTGTAATTTAAGTTCATTGTAATGTTGCTGTTGGTGCATGAACAGTATCTGCACAGTTGCAGCGCTGAAAGTTCAATGTAAGCAGAGATATCGTCTTTTAAAAATCAGGAAGTTTAATGCCTACAAAAACGACTCGATTGGGACTACAGCTGGGTTTTAGACATCACTAACCCGTACATTTACATCAACCTCTCCCTCCGGAAAACGCAAAAAAGGGCATGGCCATATTTCTGCGGCTCGTAGAGTGTGTTATGTTCACCCAGCTGTCAGGTCTTATGTGTTCGAGCTTCCCACAGACGCTGTACTTCGTCAACAATGGATACAATTTATGTTTGATTATTTTCCTGAAAATGACGATCGTAATCTAGCTCTCTGTGCTGCGCATTTTACGAGAGACAGCTTCAAGAATCTCCACGGATTCAACAAGAAACTGTTACTAAAACATGAAGGAGTTTCAACTTTAAAACCAGAAGCAGCAGTTGTTAGGCCACAACCTGTAAGTAGGCTAAGACTTAATCATTATAAATGTATTTGCATGTATAATTTCAGACGTAGCCTTGTGTTTTAGTTTTATCAAATGCCAGCGCTGGCTTTATAGCCACTAGGCTAGTTATGCTATTTTGTGTCTACGACAAAAGCGTACAAACATTATGAACCTGAATTTTGTATAAGTACTAACGTTTTAAAGGTATTTTTTATGTATATATTAGAGCCAGACCGATATATCGGCAGGCCGATATTATCGGCCTATATTAGGCATTTTACAAACTATCGGTATCGGCAGTTATAATGGCCGATAAATGAATATTTCAAAAATAAATAAAAATTGATGAAACACGCTTCAACCATGTCATGTTGGAGTGTTGGAGTTGTATAAGTTTGTCCACCAGAGGGCACTCTATACCATCACTGGCCTGTTGGCAACACTCGTTTATAACGCGCAACACATTCAAGCTAACCACAAAGCTAGCTGATGCCACTATCATCAATGGAATTTAATGAGCTTTGTTAATTAATTAATGCGCTTTGGTTCCTCCTCTGTTCTGTTGCGACAATAAAAGAAACAAGTTTCTTTTTAAAATGAATTATCATATTATTATAATTAAAACATAATCCTAATGTTAGGGAAATCTGTTTTGTTGAGCATTCATGAAAAAAATAAAATAAAAAATATCGGCCGATATATCGGATTTTAAAACCAACAAATATTTGTATCGGTATCGGCCTTCAGAATCCTTTATCGGTCGGGCTCTAGTATATATTCTTTATGACGTTATTTTCGATTTGATCAAGAACGTAAACGTGCCAACGCTGTTTGTGTTTAACATTAGTAGCCAGTCAGTTGCTATTGTTGCCAGTCAGATGCTATTGTGTAAAACAAATGTGCATAAAGTTAAAAAATGTAGCAGATTATCATTCAGAAACGTTTAGTAAGAGCCGTGTGTGGTGAGGTTCTGCTTGACTCTCTTCATCGCGGCTTTCTCGGTCTGATTCTGCCTCAAACTGATACTGCAGTTCGACACATATTTACATCTGGACCGGAGCTCATGACATGCACGTTACGCCGATAAAGGTAATGGGCATTAACCTTCCGGACAACGTGAGCGACAGTTTAGCCAATCACAACACACCGGCCCAAACTAACCAATCTGAGCCCACTACGTGTTTCTGAGGGAGCGGTTTCATAGAATCAGGAAGTCAACTGCTCCTTCGAGTACAGAGGAGAGCGCGGCTGACAATAAAGGTGAAGTTCATGAAAAATAAGACTTTTAAAAAAAGAAAAATCACGAATACATGTTATATTGCACCTCATAAACACAATCATGCAAAGAAAAAAAGCAGTCAACCCCCCCTTTAAGAATTATGTAGGCCACTGTGCTCTTGGGAACCTTCAATGCCCAGCATTTTCAGAAACTTGAAATTTGGCTTGGTTTTTGCTGTGATGTGCATCAGCTGTCAGACCTTATACATAAAGGTGGGTTCCTTTTCAAATCATGTCTAACAAAATGTTTCAGGTGGACTCTAATAAAAGTGTAGAAATGGTCCATATAAACGTGAGGCACCTGAGCTAAATTTCAAGTTTCTGAATACTGTTATCAATGAGATATTTCAGGTTTTTTTGTCTTCTGTTAAATACATTTATCTTTGTCACTGTCTAATTTTAGCTTGATTAGTTGGGGACACTTAATATTATTTATTTGTCTGTACTGAGACTTTTGGAATAAAAACTGCACCTTTTCTACAGTCATTACTGTTTTATACAGGGATTCTTTACAACAGAGTTAAACTAATATAATATTTAGTCTTTACACAGTTATTGAACAAAACTGAATCAACACTGAACTGACCGTAACTGAACAATGACACTATTTTATTTTTAGAGCTGCTGTAGGAAGAATCTAACTTTATTTGCATCATTGAATCATTATTTTTGTTTATAAAGCTCCGGTCTAAAAGCAAAAATTAAAATACAAGTGACTTGTGAAACAATCTAAAAGCACTATGAAAATACAAGTGACTTGACTTGAGTACTTACACTGTGGGGGTCCCTGTTTGCAAGCAGTCTGAATGCCTGGACTGCAGCACCCTGTACTCTGGTTGGAAGTTTTTCAGCTGCAGGTGAGTAGCCTGGAAGGAACTTTAGTAGAGTCTTGATGCTGGAGGGATGAGCTGCATTTCCCAAGGCCTTTAGTGCAAGGACCATGTCTTCCTCAGAGTTTTTACTAAGGCTACTTGCAGCCATATCCAGTAATGGCTGGACAACAAAGGACATGAAAAAAGGTAAATATCAGAGAAATGAGTTATATAAGAAATACATAAACTAGCAGATTATAAAATATGAAATTGGAAGTGGGAGACAAATATACCTGCACCACAGTGACGGGGCAGGGATCAGTATACACACAGTATCTGTATAACAGTGATCCATATGCCAAAACCACAGTGTTCCACAGGAGAGTTGGGGATTTACTGAAAGGAATTGTCAAGAACTCCTGGAAAGCAGAACACAGTATCAGAAGGCCAGTAAAATGCCATTAATGAATGTAACAAAAAATTCTCTTGGTCACTGACTCACCTGAGCTAATGCCACGGGCACAGGGTCAGCAGACAAGTGGTTAAATGCTACTACAAGTGCCTGTCCTGCCTCATTCGCTGTAATGTCTCCTAGTTTGAATCTGGTCTCAAGGAATTTGAGGATCCTCTCATCTGTTGCCTCCACAACCATGTCCAGGAACCACCTCCTGAAGACCAAAAAAGAAGAGTCTGTGGAAGAAGTTCTTGGATTCTATAGTATTTAGAGGAGTGTAAAGAAAATACCTGTGCTCATCATTTCCTGAGACCTGCTTCCATAACTGCTCTAGATTTTCAAGTGTTGCCACACGTAGCAACTGGATTAGATTCAGAACA